AGGAAGGAACAAACAGACCAAACGTCCAGCTCTCAAAGGGCTATAAATATGTAATATGCAAATAACATAAATATAGTAGTTATAATCTCAAGTCCTGTAAGTGATTTTGAGAGAGAGGAAGCAGGGGAAGGAGAGTAAGTCAATTTCAGGATGGCCTGCTGCTTGCATTATATGTATAACTAAGGCCAGAAAAGCCCCCTGAGCCCTCTCGATTTCCTAGAAGTTACAGAAGCAGAAGGAAGAATAATTGTCTGTTATATAGAATCAAGAATGAATATTGTGAAATTTAGAAGATTGCCTTGGTGAGAATTTAAACATGGATGTTTCTTAAATTTTAGTTAAGGTAGCCTTGTTTTGATATTTCTGTGGTTTGAGAAAATTTTAGATCTGGGTTAACTGATTCCCTATAGTATTAATTTTTTTGCTTCATTCAAAATGAGTATTTGGAGTTCAGCAGGTTAATGTATCTCATTCCAGTCGCTTATTTGATGTTGCTTTTTTGGAGTAATTTTTTGGTGACTGACTCATTTCTCAGTCTAAATTTTTCTTCTCAGTTGAATTTATTACTATTATTATTTTAAATTTTTACTATCCTGTCATCCAAAGAAATTTTCATCCAAACAGAAAGAAAACCCACTAATTTAAAATACTTTTTAGTCACTCCCAGTCCTAGCATGATATTCAACTCTTCAAACAGTCTGACATGGGCACAAGCCAGTCATAAAAGACATGGACCATAAACAGCTGAGGATCAGCCCCCATCTTTCTCTGTCCTTACTGAATCCTTGTCACTGTTCATATTTTTTAAAGTTATAATTTGTATATACAAGTTTCATTTTTGTCTTGACTTTTATTAATCATCATTTCCTATGTATTTTTTGTACACCATTCGTGGTATATCCATACGGTTTTTGTTAAGTCATATAGGAAGGTAGGGTTTTGTCCAACTTTTTATAGTTACGAAGAGGGTTACTATAAACATTGTTGGGCATGTTGATTTGTTTTTCCTTTTTGGATCATTTCCATGAAAATAAGAAACCATTAGCTAACCGAGGTGAGAAGACAAATCAATCCCAACATCACCTGGTGTCCCCTTCACACATTCTGACCATCATTGCTGTTCCTTCTAAAGTGGTGAATTTCAAATTGAGGTCAGGGTCTTTTTTTTTTTTTTTTGTCTTTTTGTCTTTTTTCGTGACCGGCAACGGATCGCAACCCTCAGTGTCGCGCCCGTACCGGACCGGGACCGGCAACGGGATCGCAACCCTCGGTGTTGCCCCCGCTCCTCGCTCAGCCAGTGAGCGGCCGGTCTGTATGTGGGATCCGAACCCTCGGCGGGAGCGCCGCCGCACTTCCCAAGCGGCGCACTGCAGCAGTGCGCCACCGGGCCGGCCCCTAGGTCGGGGTCTTTGATGTATTCTCAGGGCCCCAAGAGTGCAACACCCTCTCCCCCAGCACATTCCCAGTCTTTACTGCAAGACTAAGGGAAGCAAAAGCCAGAACAGTTCTTGGGTAGGCCCAGGTGTCAGGCTCATCTGAGGATCATTCCTATCTTCTCCATTCTGCATTTTGGAGAAATCATTGGCTGTATCTCTGTTTTCTCATTTATTCCTCAACTGTTCTTTCTGCTATTCATATACTGAGTTTTTAATGAATTTTTTTCATTTGTATAATCTTTAGTTGATTCTTTTTCATGGATGCACTATCAGCTTACAGCTGTCTGAGGATATTAATTCTGCTCTTCTTTTTTTTTTTTTTCCTTTTTGTCTTATTTCGTGTCCAGCAACGGGTTGCAACCCTCAGTGTCGCGCCCGTACCGGACCGGGACCGGCAACGGGATCGCAACCCTCAGTGTTGCTCCCGCACCTCGCTCAGCCAGTGAGCGGGAACGGGTCTGTATGTGGGATCCAAACCCTCGGCGGGAGCACCACCGCACTCCCAAGCGGCACACTGTAGCAGTGCGCCACCGGGCTGGCCCCTAATTCTGCTCTTCTAAAGTCCTCTGTGCTTTCTCTGTTAACTCTGATTCATTGGCTTTAAACTCTTAAGTTTGTTTGGGTTTGTTTTCTGTCCTTAATGGAGTTAGCTTTCTCACATTGTTTGGTCATTCCTGAGTACCACTCATCTTTGTAGTTGGAATTCTGCTGCTTACAGCTCTAGGGGAGAGGTGAAATGAGATGCTGGGGCTTGTGTTCCAGATGGATTTTCCTGAGAATAAGGAAGGGGAGAGGGTGGGATGTGACTAGTAAGGGAGTGCACCCCTTCCAGGATCTGGGACCCTGTGCTTTTCTAACACCAGTTGCTCCTGCCTGGAGAAAGACACCCTTTGCTGCCTTGTCTGAGGAGGAAGGATATGGGCTGATGTGCCTCGGCCTATGGGGTTGCAGTACCCTAACCAATAACTCTGTACGTGGCTCCAGGGCGTCTCTGGTAGTGGAGCATTTGTAGAGCTGCTTCCATGTTTGAGCTAAGCTTGGGGATTCTTAAATTATATCTATTCTATCATTTTTAGGGATTTGGTAGAGGTTGGAAAGGTAGAGACTTGGCATGTTCTCTATCTGCCAACTCAAAATAGCACAACTCCTTAGGAAAATAATTTTGTACCCTTACAGCCTGGAGAAACTCAGGTACAAGTGTCAGCAGGATACATGTACAAGAATGTTCAAAGCAGCGTTGTTTGCAATAACTAAAAAAAAAGAAAAATCTCAGTATCCATCAACAGTAGAATGAATAAATAAATTGTGGTATAGTCACACAATAGAATACTCTAAAGCAGCATTATTCAGTAGTAACGTAATGCAAGCCACATACATAACCTGAACTTTTCTGGTAGCCATTTAAAAAGTAAAAGTAAAAAGAAACAGGTGAAATAAATGTTAATATACTTTTTAACCGATAAAGTCAAAACATTATTTCAGGGCTGGCCCGTGGCTCACTCGGGAGAGTGCGGTGCTGATAACACCAAGGCCATGGGTTCGGATCCTATATAGGGATGGCTGGTTTGCTCACTGGCTGAGCGTGGTGCTGACAACACCAAGTCAAGGGTTAAGATCCCCTTACCAGTCATCTTTAAAAAAAAAAAAAAACATTATTTCAATGTGTAATCACTATATACACTACTATTGAGATATTCTATTTTTATACTGTATTCAAAATATACAACAAATTATTTTTTCTACTTGTAATTAGTATAAAATTATTAACTGGGGAGTTTGCACTCTTTTTCCACACTAACTCTTTGAAATTTCAATTTGGTTGCTAAATTTCCATTAGAAATACTTAGTCTATGGGCCGGCCAGTGGCTCACTCGGGAGAGTGCGGTGCTAATAACACCAAGGCCCCGGGTTCGGATCCCATATAGGGATGGCCGGTTCGCTCACTGGCTGAGCGTGGTGCGGGCGCAACACCGAGGGTTGCGATCCCGTTACCGGTCAGTAAAAAAGACAAAAAGGAAAAAAAAAAAGATGCCCGGAAAGGGGATCTTAACCCTTGACTTGGTGTTGTCAGCACCACGCTCAGCCAGTGAGCGGGAACTGGTCTCCACATGGGATCCGAACCCTCGGTGGGAGTACCCCCATGCTCCCAAGCGGCACACTCTCCAGTGCGCCACCAGGCCGGCCCACCAGTCATCTTTAAAAAAAAAAAAAAAAACCTCCTTTCGTGGGGCTGGCCCGTGGCTCACTCGGGATCGTATAACTTCGTATAATGTTTGCTATTCGAAGTTATTACGTTTTTAATTATTATTTTTTTTATATAAAGATGACCGGTAAGGGGATCTTAACCCTTGACTTGGTGTTGTCAGCACCACGCTCAGCCAGTGAGCGGGAACTGGTCTCCACATGGGATCCGAACCCTCGGTGGGAGTACCCCCATGCTCCCAAGCGGCACACTCTCCAGTGCGCCACCAGGCCGGCCCACCAGTCATCTTTAAAAAAAAAAAAAAAGAAAGAAAAAAGAAATACTTAGTCTGTATTGAGATTTCATAAAATTTGCGGTTGAAAAAGTAGCATGATATACCCAAGTTGTTGCAAACGTATTAAACATTTTCTAATACCTGCATCGGGTATCAGTTTTTAAATTTAAAAATAATTAAAATTAATGAAATTAAAGGTTCAGTTCCTCAGTCATACTAGCCACTCTCAAGTACAAAGCACACGTAGCTAGTGGCTACCTTATTGGACATGCAGCACAGGCACTGAAATGAGCCAGTCTCAGCTACATGAAGCATCTTGAGTTTACAAACAGAATGTTGAATGAAAGAAGCAAGATAGAAAATAGTACACATATTATTCCATTTATATAAAGTTCAAGGGGAGGCAAAACTAAACTGTGCTGTCTATAGCTGACATATAATAGGTAAAACTACATTTGAAAAGCAAGGAAATTATTCTAAAAGTGAGGATAGTGGTTACCTTTACAGGTCAGAGAGAGGGTTGTGATTGGAAAGGAGCATTCTGGGGGCTTCATGGGCACTAGCAGTGTTTTTTCTTGACATGATGGTGTTAACATGACTATTTTCTTTATCATCATTAAACTGAACAGTGATATGCATTTTATAGCTCTCAAAAAATAATAATGGGGAGGAAGGGAGTCAAATGGCATCACTTGCAGCCCTGACATAGTTCCATGTGGGGGTTCCATAATAAGGTTTGGGAAAAAAGAGGAGAAAATGGCAGTTCTGCCAAGCTTGGTACCACCCAGAGCTGGGTTCTAACAAGGACTTAGTGATCTAGAGGGTAGGCATTAAATACACAATTTGGTGGGAAGAGTAGGTAGGTGTCGGGGTGGGGAGGGTCGAGACAGATGGACTCAAAAAGGAGAACGAGAAAAGGTTTGAATAAAAACAAAACAGACATCAACATCTTGAAATTAAGTAAGAATTGGGGTATTTAGTTGGAACCATTGCCCTTGTTTCCTCCACATACAGGAGTTAGTCCTCTATAGCAAATAGTTCTGGTTAGTTTGCATTTTGACTCAGAAATAACTTTTTCATTTTCCAGAATTCTCAGTGATGCCAGAATTCTCAGTGAAAATCATTTGACTGAATTACATAAGGATTCATTTGAAGGCCTGCTCTCCCTCCAGCATTTGTAAGTTAGTTAATCATATTCATTTATGAGTTTTTAGTTATGTAATCTATAAATGAATAAGGAGTTCAAATTAAATAATCTCTGAAATTTCTTTCAGCCATAAAAATTCTGCAATTCTGTAAGTCTGTGTATGGTCTCAGCCCATCTCTAGCATTAACTATCTCCTATGTATTTTCAATTTGTTAAATTATATAGATGGGATATAGATAGAAAAAACTTCACTTAAAGAACAAAAGTGGTAATAAGATCTGAGCAATTATTGACATGCGTGTGAACACTGTTTTATAAGTGTTCATATACCATCTGCTTGTATAGTCTGTGGTCCAAAGATCAAATTTGATCCACAGTCTGTTCCTGTACAGCCCATAAATTGAGAATGATTGTTACATTTTCAAAAGACTGAAACAGAAAAAGAAAAGAAACAAAGAATATGTAACAGAGACTGTATGTGGCCTGCAAAGCCTAAAATATTTACAATCTTCCATTTTAAAAAGGTCCAAAAAAGTTGGTTTAGTAGAATGAGAGGAATTAAAGTTAACCTCAGATTGTTGCCTAAAGGAGAAGAAAATATAGACTACCTATGTTAATTTGAATGCCATTAACCCAGAATTTTATGATAATTTAATCTAAATTAACATTTAAATATTAATTAACTAAACAGATGAATTATGCAAGTAATATTAAGAATGGTTAAGGAATCAAGAAAATGACTGGTATTAACAATTTCAATGCAGGAATTGTTATACTCATATTAAAAATAGATGTTTCAAAATGATGGTTAAAGGGGCCAGCCCGTGGCTCACTCGGGAGAGTGCGGTGCTGATAACACCAAGGCCCCAGGTTCAGATCCCACATAGGGATGGCCAGTTCACTCACTAGCTGAGCGTTGTGCTGACAACACCAAGTCAAGGGTTAGGATCCCCTTACCGGTCATCTTTAAAAAAAAAAAAAAAAAATGATGGTTAAATGGTATAGCTAGAAATGTTTGTGTAGTGTTTCTGTCTGTTTTGAGATACCATGTTGTTTGCTGTGAAAGCTTGAATTGTATCTTTTCTCCATGGATCCAGAGGTATGTATGTCATTAATTCTTACTAAGCTAATTAATGATGCTCTTTAGCAGATAGGTTCTTCATTCAAATGTAGAAGGCTTAAGGGAAGGTGGGTATAAAGAGCCTCATGTGACACTAAAAATAGTCCTTTGAACTA